CACACACACACACACACACACACACACACATTGTTGTACTTCTATCTTGGTGAGGACAAGTGGCAAGATGCATTCCCTAGCCACTCACCCTAACATTAGCCATCACAACTAAATGCCTTATTCTGATCTTAAAAACAAGCCATAAAGAGTCCACACAACACTTTTGGAGTTTCAGGGGTCAACAGCATTGCAGCTGAATCAAATACAATTGATGTAACGGTGAACTATTCCTTTAACCTTCAAACAGGCCTTAGGTGTGAGGACTGGTAAAAATGACATAACTTTCCCAAAATGTCCTCATGCCATACTGTCTATCTGTGCATTGACATGCTCCCAGAAAGATCACAAGTTGTTTTTCAGACTTCAGTGTGTTCATGTACCTTGAAATTGGAATGTGGAAAAACATTTATGCTGAAAACAAAATGTGTTATATTTCTGTGTTATGAGCTCTGTCAGCTCTGTGGTCTATTTGCATCATAATGGCTTATAAGAGTGATGTTTGGCACTTGTAAAAGATGGACATATACTTTTAAGTGATGAATTGGAAAGATCACATTAAAAGCTACTATTTTGATTCTGAGTTGTTCTGACTTGAAATGTTGTTCACAGCAATTTTCCCAGTTGGGAACAACTTTTTCTGATTATTGCGACATCACATGAACACACAATATGCTCAAAACAGTCCTAGCAAAGATGTAAGTACACATGCATACAGTCTACAGGCAGAAAATCCCCTAACTTCTTGACTTAACTTTGTAGAAACAAATGAAAGTCTAACCAGTTTCTGTCTGATTTAAATTGAGATCAGCAGTTTTGTTGTGTAAATGCACTTCACAAGCTCCTGTGTATCTCTGTGATCTAGACAGTTACTGTGTTCATGGAATCTTTTTGTGTTTAGTTTAACTAATGCGTTGCTTTTCCTCTTTTCTTGTCTTCCTCTCTGCCAGACGGGCCCCGGGCGAGGATACTCTAAATGGTAAGATGTGTAGTTTCACTCTTCCTCCTTCATCTGCATGACATAGTTGGGCCCGGCTCATTCTGCTGGATCAGCTGGTCCAGCAACACTTACATGAACAATGTGACCAAAGTGACCTTTGAATTTTCGCCTTTCTTTGCGACCCTATGTATGTTTGTGTGTGATTTAATCTGCACGGTAACAGATATCAACAAAATCTTTAGGGGAAAAATGTGTCCCTCCTGTAAATCTGATTACTGTTAAGTTTTACTGAAGCCTTGCGTCTGGTTCTGATTTGGCTTCAGCAACATCCCTGTGTTACAGAAGATGTCAGAAAATCAGAATGGAGAATTACAGCCATTTCATTCAATGATAATCTTGCATTTGCAAGTCCAACTGTTTTGTGATTTGATGGGAACAGGATTTGACATCAGGAGCACAGTGTGACCTCTTCTGTCTGATGCTTCATAGAATGAAGCTTAACTGTGCTTCTTCACTTCTGTGGTTACAGCTGCAGTTCCTCTCTACATGCCACAACACACCCACCTGGGATCCAGGAAGGACTGTAAGTCACCAATGCTGTTTTTAATACAGTGAATAACTTCATCTGTCTCTCAAGATTTTGGATCCAGAGGAAGTTAAACTCTTCCGAACATGGTTTCTCATAGCCGCTTATTCCCCCAAAAATACATTTTCTCTATTCTTGTAATATTAAGACCTTTTTCTCTTTAAATTACTCCTATTATTCTCAAAATCTTTGATAAGGCTCTAATAAGAATACGAGACTTGTTAGCTGCTAGATACTCCTTTTTTTTGTCATTTATTTGAAAAAAATTAAAATGCAGTGATTTCACTATTTTATTTAATATTCTGTTAATTTCTGTAGTCTTCTGAAAAACGAATTTAATATCTAAACCATAACGGTGAGAACAATCCATGAACTGGTTTTTTGTTGCAGGAAACTTTTCATATGGTGACATTTTTATTGAATGAATATGACAACTTCATTAAATGACATGAATCCAGCCTTGTTGCATGTCATATCCTGCTCTCTCTCCCCCTCCCCTTGTTCCTCCTGCCTCTTCACTGTCAGCTCATCACTAAAATGTAATAATTATCTAATAAATAAGCTTTTAAAATGTTTTTCTGCAAAGATTAACAGTCACTTTGTTTTCTCTTTAGCTATTGGCTCACCTTTCAAGCCCATGGAAAGCTACCAGTACTCAGGTGAGACATGGATTCATACACATGTATTCCAGGGTAAAGGCTGTATTATAATGTTGTCATGAATTACTTATTTTGTGACTAAAATTATGATATAAATGTGTGTGTGTGTGTGCGCATTTTTCCTCCTGTAGCTGTTGAACGCAACAACTTGATGAGGCTATCGCAGAGCATCCCTTTCACTCCTGTGCCCCCTAGAGGTGAGTTTGGGTCATGGGGCAATCCCACACGTGTCGGATCATTTGAATGACCCACAGACGCCTCTGAAATAGAACAGCAGGCAGGTGGAGAATAAGGAAGTGTGCAGTCTAATAAGAGGCGTGGTCACTACAGTGTTTTTGTCCTGCCACGCCTGCAGCTGTTTGCTCCACAGTCCAGTTCAAGCTGGTGATGTGTTTTTGTTTTATACCCTCCTTGTTGAGGAGGAACTAGTTCAGTGGCAGTTAAAGCAACAGCTGTTATTGTTTCTGTTTTTAAGTGCAAATACCTGTGAGTCATTTGGTCCCTGCAGTTTGCAGCCCTGTCATTACAGTGGTGTGAGGAGGTGCTGACTGCATATTTTCACAGAAATGAGCAGCAACGTGGCACCACTTTATTATGATTAGTATCTCAAAACTCCATTCAGTCCCATTTTAACGATGGTCAAAATCGCAGTTTGGTTTTCTCCTGTTTTCTGGTTCTTGTGTAACTTTGATATCATGTTTTTCAAGAAACATATTTAAAAGCATAATTTTCTTTTACGTTGTGAAATAGATTGTAAAAAGATTTGTGTCTTTACTCTGATCTGATTTAAGTGAGGTTTTTTTGTGGAAGTACAGACAATTACCACAGACCCATTAGGGTTTTTGCTTGCTACATTCTGCAGCGGTGGCCTGCCACTGACTCACGACGAAGGCAGATGCACATTAGGCCTGTTTGCCTTGTACCCTGCCTGAGTGTCCTCACTACCCAGCTGGCCTGCGCTAACACTGACACACCAACACTGATCAGAAGTTATAAGGACCTGTAGAGTACTTGAAGTTCACTAATTGTTTGTTTTAATTCTCTTTCACATTTATTAGACATGCATTTTAACACATTGTACGGAAATATTTTTTTCCTTACACCTCAAACTGTTCCTTCTGAATGTTGTTCATTAAAACTTGATACAGAAAGTTTTCTCAATCTCATTATGACATCCAGAGACACTGTGGCCCTAACGTACATTCAGCACAAAGCAGCGCCATGCTCAACATTCTTCTCTTTCTAACTCTCAGACTGACACAGTTGTTATTTACCTGTGCAGCCTCCACAAATAGCTTGTTTGGGTGTGTTGGTCTTAAATGAGGTGTGGTGCATTGTTGGCACACATCTGTGCCAAGATTTAAAGTTCATGTAGAATAACTCTCATGATGTTTTCATGAGTTTGTTTCATCTAAATTATATGAATTGTAGTTTTCTTTACCCCAGAAAAGCCCCTTTATATTTAATTACTTTATATTTACATGGTGGGGGTCCTCTCTACAGAGGCCGCCATGTTTTTTACATTAGTCCAGACTGGACAAACTAAACACCTTTTGAGATTTTATGAAAATTAAAGTATACCACAAGTTCTTTTTCATGTTTGGAAGGAGAGGGTGAGGTGAGGGGTGATCAGCTGCAACATGCTATTTCAACACTAGATATCACAAAATTCTACACACTGTACCTTTAAGTGATTTCACAACTGATGGACAAACCCTGATCTGATGTAAGTGCTACAGCATTTCAGTATTAAAGGAAGGCCACTTCATCAAGATAGTCAGAGATGTGCCTTCACGGGAGGGTGCAAAACTCACATTTCCTCTGCTTTTTATCCACAGATTGATTTTTATGTGCACTTCTGTTTCCCCCGCTGAGAGCATGCTTATTAAAAATCAGCTCAAATCAAATGTAGATTTATAGTAGTACCATAAATCTGACAGGTGGCCCATGTTGCTGTGTGTCTGCAGGTTGTGTCAGGAAACTACACAACACTAACTTCTCCCTCTCTCTTTATCAGGGGAGCCGGTGACCGTGTACCGACTGGATGAGAGCTCTCCCAACACCATCAACAACAGCATGTCTTCCTGGGCCCAGCGGGGCCTCTGTGCCAAAATAGAGTTCCTCAGCAAGGAGGAGATGGGTGGTGGACTCCGACGAGCCCTCAAGGTGCTCTGCACTTGGTCAGAATACGACATCCTGAAACCAGGACACCTGTATATAGTCAAGTCCTTCCTCCCTGAGGTGGTCCAGACCTGGCAGAGTATCTACAAAGAGGACACTGTGCTGCACCTTTGTCTCAGGGTAGGGTGTCACACGCACATGTAGTATCTCAGCAGATAGATTTAGTAAAATTGAATTTGCTTAATGGCTGTAGTTTTGGTAATGGACAGTGGGGATGTGTCGATTGCTGAACCTATTTTTTTTTTTACTCATCTTTTGTCATTTTAACTCCATATCAGTTACCTATAAGATTTAAACTTTGTTTCCCTGCAGGAAATTCAACAACAACGAGCTGCTCAGAAGCTGACGTTTGCCTTCAACCAAGTCAGGCCGAAGACGATTCCTTATTCACCGAGGTGAGCACGCATGAGTGTTTGCTGCACACACACACACACACACACACACAC